TATGAGTTCATGATATATTTTGCATGTTAACCCCTTATCAGAAATATCATTTGAAAATATCTTCTTCCATTTAGTTGTTTGCTCTTTTGTTTTGTTGATGTTTTCCTTTGCTGTGCAGAGGCTTTTAGTTTGTAGTTTTATTTGTTTATTTTTGTTATTATTACCCTTGCTATTGAGGTCAAATCCACAAAAATGTTGCTAGCTGATGTCCAGGAGCTTAGCACCCATGTTGTATTCTATGTAGCATATAGTTTCAGGTCTTACATCAGTCTTTCATCCATTTTGAGTCAATTTTTGTGTATGATGTAAGACATTTTCATTCTTTTTTTTTTTCTTTTTTCTTTTTTTTTAAATATATTTTTTATTGATTTTTCACAGAGAGGAAGGGAGAGAGATAGAGAGAGTTAGAAACATCGATGAGAGAGAAACATTGATCAGCTGCCTCTTGCACATCCCCCACTGGGGATGTGCCCGCAACCCAGGTACATGCCCTTGACCGGAATCGAACCCGGGACCTCTCAGTCCGCAGGCCGACGCTCTATCCACTGAGCCAAACCGGTTTCGGCAGACATTTTCATTCTTTTACATGTGGTTGTCCAGTTTTCCCAACACTATTTTATGAAGAGACTTTACTTTCTTCATTGTATGTTCTTGGCTCCGTTGTTGTAATTTAGCTGTCTGTATATGTGTTTTATTTCTGGGCTCTCAATTCTGTTCCATTGGTCTATATGTCTGTTTTTCTGTCAATACCATGCTGTTTTGATTACTCTTGCTTTGTAGACTAGTTTGAAAACAGGAGTGTGATACTTCTGGCTTAGTTCTTTTTACTCAGGATTGTTTTGGCTATTTAGAGTCTTTTGTAGGTCCATACAAATTTGAGGATGTTTTTGTTCTATATCTGCGAAAAATGCCATGGATATTTTGATAGGGATTTCATTGAGTCTGTAGATTGCTTGGGCATTTTTTTTAATACATATTTTTATTGATTTTTTACAGAGAGGAAGGGAGAGGGTTAGAGAGTTAGAAACATCGATGAGAGAGACATCGATCAGCTGCCTCCTGCACACTCCCCAGTGGAGATGTGCCCACAACCAAGGTACATGCCCTTGACCGGAATCGAACCTGGGACCCTTGAGTCCGCAGGCCAATGCTCTATCCACTGAGCCAAACTGGTTAGGGCAATATGGGCATTTTAACATTGTTAATTCTTCCAATTGCTGAGCATGGGCTATCTTTCCATTTTTTATGTCTTCAATATTTTTCATTAATATCTTTTATTTTCAGGGTACAGGACTTTCACCTCCTTTGTTAAATAATATTCTTCAGTATTTTATTCTTTTTGTTGCAATTGTAAATGAGATTCTTGATTTCTCTTTCTGATAGTTTGCTAGTGTATAGAAACACAACAGATTTTTACATATTGATTTTATACCCCACAACTTTACTATATTCATTTACTATTCCTAATAGTTTTCGGGTGTAGTCTTTAGGATTTTCTATATAAAATCATGGCATCCACAAATAGTTTTACTTCTTCTTTTCCAATTTGGATGCCTTTTATTTCTTTTATTGCCTAACTAGAGGCCCAGTTCACGAATTGGTGCACGGGTGGGGTCCGGCAGACCTGCCCCCGGTGAGTGGGGCCAGCTGGGGGGAGGGGCCATGGGCGGTTGGCCGGCCTGCCCCACCCCCTGGTCAAGATCCCAGTCTAGGGGACAATTTGCATATTAGCCCTTTATTATATAGGATTGCTCTGGCTAGGCCTTTCAATACTGTTTTGAACAAAAGTGGCAAGAGTGGGCATCTTCGTCCTGTTCTTGATCTTAAAGAAAAAGCTTTCAGTTTTTCACCATTGCTATGATGTTAGCTCTAGGTTTGCCATATCTAACCTTTATTATGTTAAGGTACTTTACTTATACATTTTATTGAAAGTTTTTTTGATAAATGGATGTTGAATCTTTTAAGATGTTTTTTCTACATCTAATGAGATGATCGTATGATTTTTATTCTTCATTTTGTTAATGTGGTGTGTCATGTTGATTGATTTGAAGATATTGAACCATCCCTACTTCTCTTGGAATAACTTGAACTTGATCATGGTGTGACTTTTTTTTTTGTGGTTACCATGAAGCTTATATAACACCTTATAGAGAAAAGAGTCATTTTTCTTCTAATAGCGTATTATCTTCATTTGCCTATACAAGTTTTGTTCCTTTCCTCCTCCCCTTTTATGTTTTTGTTGTCACAAATTATCCCTTTTTATCATGTATATTCACTATCAAATTGAAGTAGCTATTTTTTTTAATCCTCTTTTTCCCTTTAACCTTCATGCTATAATTGTCTAACACTCTAGTCTGTGATAGAGTTAGAATTTTCTGATTCTATCACCTTACTCAAAGTTTGGTATACTTCTGTGTTTTTTTTATTTACAGTAGAACAGCTCCCTTCAACATTTCTTACAAGCCAAGGATGTGGTGAACTCCTTCAGTATTTTCTTTGTTGTTTTTGTTTTTGTCTGAGAAAGTCCTCATTTCTTCTTCATATCTGAAAGATAACTTGGCTGGTTATATGGTTGTCTGGCAGTTTTTATCTTTCACTATTTTGAGTATGTCATTCCATTATCTGACCTGTAAAGTTTCTGCTGAGAAATATGATGAGAGCCTGAAGGGGGTTACTTTATAAGTTACTGTCTTTTCTTCCCTGAATGCTTTAAGAATTCTTATTTTACCATTGACTTAAGACAGTTTTAATATAACGTGTCTTGGAGACTAGAGACTGGGTGCACAAAATTTGTGAACTGGGGAGGGGGGTGTCCCTCAGCCCAGCCTGCACCCTCTCCAATCTGGGACCCCTCGGGGGATGTCCACAGGGATCGGGCCTAAACCGGCAGTCGGACATCCCTCTCACAACCCGGGGCTGCTGGCTCCCAACAGCTCGCCTACCTGCCTGCATGATTGATTGCCCCTAACCACTTCTGCCTGCCAGCCTGATCATCCCCTAACCACTCCCCTGCCGGCCTGATCGATGCCTAACTGCTCCCCTGCCGGCCCAGTCGCCCCCAATTGCCTCCCCTGCTGGCCTGGTCGCCCCTAACTGCCCTCCCCTGCAGTCCTGGTTCCCCCCAACTGCCCTCCCTCCCCTGTAGGCTCGGTTGCCCCCAACTGCCCTCCCCGACCAGCCTGGTCGCTCCTAACTGCCCTTCCCTGCAGGCCTGGTCACCCCCAACTGCCCTCCCCTGCTGCCCTGGTCCCCTCAACTGCCCTCTCCTGCTGGCCCACTCTCCCCAACTGCCCTCTCCTGCAGGCCTGGTCGCCCACAACTTCCCTCCCTGCCGGCCATCTTGTGCCCACATGGGTGCGGCCATCTTGTACAAGGATGTGACAGTCAATTTGCATATTACCTCTTTATTATATAGGATAATTAGATGTTCTATTAGCTTCTTGTGGTTGTATGTCCAGTTCCTTCCCCAAAATTAAGTTCTTATCTATTAAATGGCTCTCTGTTCCCGTCTCCTTCACTTCTCCTTCTGGGATACCCATTATCCTATGTTGCCCATTCTAACAGACTCGGATAGCTTTTGTAGAGTTATTTCATTTTTTACAAATCTTGGTTCTCTTCCACCTGAATTATTTATAAATTTCTTCAAGCTCACTAATTTTCTCTTCCATATAGTCTGTTCTATTTCCAGTGCTTTCTAATGCATTCTTCATCTTATTTATTGAGTTCTTTAGCACTAGAATTTCTATTTCGTTCTTTTTTACTTTATTATTTTTAATATATTTTTATTGAGTTCAGAGAGGAAGGGAGGGGGAGAGAGAAAGAGACATCATTGATAAGAGAGAATCATTGATCGGCTGCCTCCTGCATGCCCCACACTGATTGAGCCTGCAACCCGGGCATATCCCCTTGACTGGAATCAAACCTGTGACACTCGCAAGCTGATGCTCTATCCACTGAGCAAAACCAGCTAGGGCTAGGTGTGTGTATTTTAATACCTGTAAAAGGTAAACCAAATAATACCATATATAGCAAAAATAGCCCAAAATACAAAATAATATACTATACCCCTAAACCTAAACATAATAATACTGTTTTTACATTTAAAATATAAAATAGAATAATTTAGGCTCAAACATCAAATAAGTCTAGGTTTGAATTGTGGCCTTTATTTATAGTGTGTTTGTTTTTCGTCATATTACTAGCCATTCTAAGCTTCAGTTTCCTCTTCTGTCAGTTACATGATAATATTACTACATGTGGTTACTGTGGGAACATAGGAGATAATACAAATAAAGCTGTTAGTACAGTGTGGAGCTCCCTAGTTTTAGCTGTCATTATTGTAATAATCATTACCATCCTATTCTCAGCTATTCTTGAGTAATTAATATTTTATTATTCCATAAGATTAATATCATTTTACTGCTCATTCTTAATAAGAGCCACAGGATCTAGAATTCACCTTGGTTCTCTCAGAACTATCCATTTCTTCTGGTCTTGCTGGAATAATGTTCTGCTTTAGAAAGTCTGAATCAATCCTCTTCTTTTCAGATGTTGTCTATCCTTTATTGTAAAGATCTTTAATATATTGGATTTGTTACAAATTAATGATTAATGGAGAGTCTCTGAGTGAATAATTCAACAACTTGACCAAGGCTTTCTTAAATCATTGGCAATATAAGGAAATTGCAGTATTGTCACAGTGGTCATTTTTGCTGTAGCCACAGATGATAATATCTTTACTTTTCCTTGTTTTTACAATCCTAATACTGAAAGTAGTGTAGTTCTACAGATTTTATTTAGTTCAGGATTGGGCCAAGTATTTTTGTAGCTGGAATTTTATGTTTGTAACTAGTCGTTTATACTAATGACTTTAATTAATAATACTGTTCTTTTAAATAAATGGTAATGTCCCAACCTGGGTGAAAATAAAATTTTTTCCATTTGTATTTTCAGAGAATATTTTACCTTTAAAAATCAAGTGTTTTGTTTTATTTTTTTAGCATACCTCCGGATAACCTTTCTATTCAAGAATTTCAAAGAAATGAAAGTATTGATGTTGAGGTGAGGAAGCTATTTAAAAGATTTGTCTGTAACTATTTGTGAAAACCACATTGTAGAAATGTTAAAACTGTAAAATTGCTCAAAAAAATAAAGTGAAGTAATAGATTAAACTTAAACCAAAAGCATGAAAACTCTCAAAGAGGTTAAAGGTTAAATTTAAAGCATTGAAAATTTTTAAATGACTTCCTTATATTTGTTAGCTTTACACTGAGTGTATGTTTTCTACTTAGGTGTGTCCATTTAATAATTTTAAAAGCAGTTCATTCAGTAAAATTCATTAGTCAGCAAGTATTTTTTAAGGCTTATTACAGTTTAATGAACAAATCAGATGTTTGTAGTTGAAATTGATCAATGAGTTGCTTAGATTTCTCTCATTTTTAACCATCCATAGATGACCTTTAGCATTCTTAAATGAGTTTTAAAGAATATATTTTGTTGAATATAAATGGAGTTTAAAGTAGTAGTTTTTGGTTGTGGATGTGTGTGTGTGTGTGTGTGTGTTTTATTCTTTAAATAGGATAGGGAACTTTAAGTAAATAAAATCAAATACTTTAAAGTGTACATAAAAAGCATAAGCATCATCAGATAGATACAAAATACTGCCTTTTGTCCAGTTACTATATTAAAAGTCTTGTAAACTTTTCTTTAAAAATTTCTTCAAAAGGCAAAAATAGTATATGATATATTAGAAGTAAGATCAACATTTAGTAAAATTGTTGCATAGTAAACAGTTTATAGTATTGCCTACTTCGTGATAAAGTTATTTACTAAGACGGGGGGAAGCTGACTAGTCATCCTCTATATTAACCTTAAAATGTTTGTGTACTTCTATTAAAGGAGATTCTTTACGTGATTTTTTTTTACATAAAATTTAAATCTTACATTACAAATTGTCATTTGAGTCATTCTTCTTCAAGAAAAAAAAATGCATTTGAATTTGCCTCTATTGTTTTAGGTAGTTCAGCTTATCAGCACTGAGATACTACCTTATGCCAATTTTATTCCTAAGGAATTTGTTGGTCAGATAATGACCATGCTTAATAAGGGCTCAATACATTCTCAGTCATCTTCATTTACAGGTATGTTATTTCAGTTATTTTTAAAAATATTAATAGGTATATAAATATTTTTGAAGAAGCTTTATGTAAAAATGTTAACTCCTATGATTGTGGTAAATGTAAATGGGTAAGGTAATTTTTATGAATGTGATTTAGAGCTTTAAGCTTTACGAGGGGGAAATGTGGTAAATATTCTGTGAATTATATGCAATGAATTAATTGCAAAACACTTAAGGAATCCACTTAAGTCTTTCAGGCTGACACGTTTCCAGTTTTGTGAAGTCATGGATTATTGGGAGGTAATAAGTGTATATTCTGCCACTTAGTAGTTGGCTAACTTTTCTAAGTTTGAGTTTTGTCATCTGTAAAGTGAAGATATTAATACCAACCTCTCTGGACTATAAATTTCAGAGTTAGTCCATTAAAAAAATAGATACCTTGACATTAAAGAAACTAACATTTAGTGAATACTGCTTACTATGTATAGGGTTTTATGCCAGAATATTAATCCCGCATCTCACAATATTTCTGTGAGGACAAGTTCCATCACATTATAGAAAGGAAAATGGGTTTAAAAAGCTTGAAAAAAATTGCCCACAATCTTAAGGCTGGTGGCCAAAATTCATTCTTAAAAAGAACTACATGCTCCTTTTGATTATATCATGCTGCCTTACTGGGAGATGATATATAAGTTGCCTTTTGCTGTTATTTCTCTTCTAAACCTGTGCTTAAATGTTAAATGTAACAGTGGCATCATTTTTCTGTGAGACGATTAAAAAATAGTAAAAATGTGCCATGAATATCTATCCTTAATCCCCAGAATTTACCAGAGCCATGACTAATTTCTACTAAGCTGAACACTTTAAAGAGCATATATGTGTGCAGCTTGACCACTAGATGTCTCTCATGTTGCTTACTTCACAAACTAGTTTTTTTTTCCTAGCCCAGACAGTTTTAAAAACTGATCTGTTCATACACATGAGAACCTCAGAGAAAAAATCTTAAAGTCCATTTATCTTAATGTGATCACTTTTATTATTGAGTGCATAAAAATTGTAGATACATTTTTATAAAATACACATTAAGAACAATCTTTATAATCACTAGATACAAATATTCTAGACTAAATATGGACTACTGAGTTACAATGTATGCTTTTTTAGTAGTTTTCTCATGATGTCTCTTGCCATTTATACTATTTTTAAAAATTCTTTTCTATTTTTATTGATTGCAGAGAGAGGAAGGGAAAGGGAGAGCAAGATAAAACATCAGTGATGAGAGAAAATCATTGATCGGCTGCCTCCTGCACACCCCTTACTGGGATTGAGCCTGCAACCCAGGCATGTGCCCTGACTGGGAATTGAAGTGGTTCTCAACCTTCCTAATGCCGTGACCCTTTAGTACAGTTCCTCATGTTGGGGTGACCCCCAACCATAAAATTACTTTCGTTGCTACTTCATAACTGTAATTTTGCTACTGTTATGAATCGTAATGTAAATATCTGATATGCAGGATGTATTTTCAGAGGTCGCGACCCACAGGTTGAGAACCGCTTTTCATGGGTTGAAGCTCAATCACTGAGCCATACCAGCTGGGTCCATTTATACTATTAAATGTATCTGATAAGGTACATGGACATTCTTCCAATGACTGCCATAGGAAACAGACTTCTCAGCTTTGCCCTTGAGTGTTCCTTAAACACACATATACTGCTCTTTCTTGCTAAATAAGACCAATCTGTAAACACAGAGGATCCAGTGATCGTTTTTGGTCTTCTGCTCTTAAGTATGATCTGACAGCCAAAGCTCACAGACATTTGAGGAAATTCTTCAACATGAAAGAGAAAGACCAAAACAAATGAAGAGGGTCAAAAGAAACTGGGAGGAAAGAGGTAATGCGGAGTCATAGAAAACATTTTTTTAAAAGAAAAGCACAATTATTGTAATTAGGATGCTCAAAGAGATAAGTGCTTTTACATCCATGAAACAAGAAAAATGTTATTAAAAGGGAACAATTAGAACATTAAAAGAGGGCATAGAAACTAAAATGTTGTGGCTGAAATAAGTTCAATGAAGGGTTGGAAGAAAAATTAATGAAATAACCTAAAAAGTATAGCAAAGACAAAAAAGAAGAAATAAATAAAATGAATAAAGAGGTCTAACATCTGACAATAGGTCTTCCATAAAGAAAACAGAAAAGCTAGGAGAGAAAATTCTCAAAGAAACAATTTGAAATAAATCTCCAGATTAAAAGTGGTCATTCAGGACCCAGAACAGTGAAAAAGGACCCACAATAAAGCATGTCATCATGAAATATCAAAACATTCGGTAATAAAGAGAAGTTCCTAAAAGATTTCAGAAAGAAAAGTAAAAAGTTCTACATAAAAGAGTTGTATGAAAATGACACATGGGAGCCTGGGCCGGTGTGTTCAGTGGTTAGAGCATCAGCCCAAGCACCGAATGTTCTCAGGTTTGATTCCCAGTCAAGGGTACGTGGGTTTGCTCCCCTGGCCCAGTTGGGGTGTGTGCAGGAGGCAACCAATCAATGTGCCTCTCCCACATTCAGGGGAAAAATCATATATATAAATTTGCTAAGAGTTGTATTTAACCTTTTATTAACCATCAAAAATTATTTTACAGAAGCAGAGATTGATATTCGTTTGAGAGAAGAATTTTCTAAAATGTGTTTTGAAACATTGCTCCAGTTTTCCTTCAGTAATAAAGTCACAACGCCTCAAGAAGGCTACATCTCACGAATGGCACTCTCAGTGCTTTTAAAGAGGTCTCAAGATGTACTACATCGCTATATAGAGGATGAAAGATTAAGTGGTAAATGCCCTCTTCCAAGGTATATATTTTATTAAAGAAGGAAATATGCTATTATAGTTATTCATAATAAAAAAAACTCTGAAAAGTGTTTTCATAAGTGATCTGAACTTCACCTGAGGCTGTTTCTAATTTGATGTTTTCCATACAATCTAAATATAAGTTTTGCTGCTGATATACTAATGTTTTATTAAGGGATGCTTTTTCAGTACCAACTTACCTTTTTGAATTTGAAAAACAAAATTGAATTCTGAAAGTTTTTTTTCTTCTAAAGGATTTCTGAATAAGGGCTTATAAATCTACATGAGCACATGATTGTAGATCTCTCTGGAGAGAAAATAATAAATTATGCTCCTACTTTGGTTCATAGTTATTTCTAGGTTTCTCTGTAAGTCAGCTAGCCATATCTTAGATCTTCTTTTATCTAATTTGCTTATTTAAATCCTTGTACCTAAACTGATTTATTTCTCATTTAGCCATACTATTATAGTGGAGGGGTCTCAGGGGCTTTCTGTTAAGCTCAGGCTAATCAAAGTCAGAGTATATGATCAAAAGTCATAAAAAATGCATAAATTTGGGCTGTATTGCCAATCTACTTTTTGATGGGGAAGTTAGAGTTAAGGCAAAGCAAATGAAGTAAGTAAAATAATATTGGAAGATGAAGTTATTAAAGTTAGGAAAGAGGAAATGTGGTCCCATTTCCTAAGGTAGTATTAGAGAGGTAAATCACTAGCCCTAAATCTTTGTGCACATTCTTATTTACTTAAAATAAATTTTTGGAGTTAGAAATTACCTGTCAAAAGATATAGACATTTTAGAAGCTTTTGATATGTATTACAAATTGCCTACCAGAGATTTCTGCCAATTTACATTCTCCGAGGAGTATATGAATGTCCTTTTCTTCAATGTTTAGCATTTTAGAATTATTTGCCAGTTTATTATTTATTTTATTTTTCAAATTTGATGAATGAAAAATAGTCACAGTAATTAACTGTACTATTTTTGAATTATCAATCCTTCTTAGCCATTGTATTTCTTTTAGGATTCACTGTATTTTTAATTTATAGGGCATAAAAATTATACCTCCCCATATTCAGATTTATCTATCTATGCCCTTTATATACAACTAGAGGCCCAGTGCACAAATTTGTGCATGGTGGGGTCCCTTGGCCTGGCCGGCGATTGGGGCAGATTGGGGCCGGCCGGCTGCGGGGAGGGACCACAGGAGGATGGTCAGCTACAGGAGGTTGGCCAGCTGTGGGAGGTTGGCTGTGAGAGCGCACTGACCACCAGGGAGCAGCTCCTGCATTGAGTGTCTGCCCCCTGGTGGTCAGTGCTCATCATAGTGACCATTCTACTGGTCGTTTGGTCGCTTAGGCTTTTATATATATAGACTAGTTGCCCAGTGCACGAAATTCGTGCATGGGGGGGGGTTCCCTCAGCCCAGCCTGCACTCTCTCCAATCGGGGACCCTTTGGGGGATGTCCGACTGCCGGTTTAGGCCCGATCCCTGTAGGATCCCTGTAGGATTGGGCCTAAACCGGCAGTCAGACATCCCTCTCACAATCTGGGACCGCTGACTCCTAACGGCTCACCTGCCTGCCTGCCTGATTGCCCTCTGCCTGCCTGCCTGATAGCCCCTAACCTCTCTGCCTGCCTGCCTGCCTTCCTGATCGCCCCTAACTGCCCTCCCCTGCCGATCTGATCTCGCCCCCAACTGCTCTCCCTGCCGGCCTGATCTTGCCTCCAACTGCCTCTGCCTGCCTGATCGCCCCTAACTGCCCTCCCCTGCCAGCCTGGTTGCCCCCAACTGCCCTCCCCTGCTGGCCTGATCTCACCCCCAATGGCCCACTCTGCCTCGACCCCCACCACCATGGCTTTGTCCGGAAAGAAGTTGGACATCCAGAAGATGGCCGGTCGACCCAGTCTAATTAGCATATTACCCTTTTATTAGTATAGATAGATTATATAGGATAGGATTGCTTAAATGGGGGAGGAGGAAGGCCTTTTTGATCAGGAGGAGATGCTCTTAGCAGATAAAAATACATAATCCCTATATCTGGACTGATAGCCAGCCATATGCACTATACTGCCAAACCATTCATTAAAAAATTGAACTGCTTTCTTACACCTTACACCAAACAGCTGTTGCCCTTAAAACCCCTCCTCAGCCCCCACCTTAGGTTCTGCTTTCGCATTTCACCCAGATTAGGTTCTGATTGGACAGTTTCTATGCCAGTCAGTGTCAAAAGCTCCGCCTCCTAGGCAGCCATTGGCTGCTCACAGTTCACCCAGAATTGGTTCTTATTGGTCAGTTTCTATGCCTGTCAGCATCTCTGGACCTATCTCCAGGCCTGATCAGAGAGGCGGGGCTGCTGGCAAAGCCCAGAGAGAAAGAGAGAGGCAACGGCTAATCAACAGCTGCCATAGAGGCTGCGGATCAGACCCTGCCTCTCTCTCTGGGCCTCTCTCTGGGCCTGATCTGCAGCCCCCTCGGCAGTCAGTTGCTGGGTCGCCACACCCGCAGCAGCGGCAGTCATCATGGCAACCCAGCACTGACCACAGGACTGACTTCCAGTCGGTTGTGCCTTCGGTTGTTACAGACCCTGGGTTTTTATATATTAGGATAGCATTCCAAAGACAGGTATTAGTAACGTGGTTATAGTCATCATTGAAATTGATTTATCAAAATTGATCTCTGAAATACATTGGAGAGCAGTAATAAAGTTGCTTTGCTTGGACTGTTTTTATTTATTAGATTACAACCTTATTTGGTTTCAAAATTAACTTGCCCTTCATTTTTAAATATTTTGTGTTTATCCTATTACTTTTCAATTGAATATTAGTTATATATTAGGAAAATCTTATCTGTAGAATGAAAACACAGACTCATACCTGGAATCGGGTTGGGGTGCTGTTAATACTATAGCAGAAGAGCTTTATTTCATAGGGAGAAAGAAGGGACGCAAGCTACTTTTGTTGATCCTTTGCTGCAAGTTCATTCTTCATTGCTGATGTCTCCAAATAGTACCATCTTAGGAACTGATTTTGAGCATGTTATTTGTTGTATTGGAATGTTAACTATGCATTATTGTAATTTTAAACTTACTTTTAACAGCGTGATAAAATATGTGCTAGGAGTTAATAGTAGTCTATATTTCCATTTAATCTTTGGCAAATCCTTTTTAGTACTAATTAGTTAAAATAAATACACCTTTCACAGAGAAGTTTTAAAAGCACACATTATAAAATGTTTTAATTTTAAGTAGTTACATGAAATAGCTTACAAATAAATTTAGATTTGCACGAATAGATTGCCTCTCCCCCTTTTTTAAATTGATAACTAATGGTAAGAACTATATATCTTACTAGAGGCCTGGTGCACGAAAATTCATGCACTTTGGGGGGTCCCTCAGCCCAGCCTGCGCCCTCTCACAGTCCAGGACCGCTCACAGGATGTCTGATTGATGGCTTAGGCCTGCTTCCCCTGGGGAGTGGGCCTAAGCTGTTAGTTGAACATCCTTAGCACTGCCACGGAGGCAGGAGAGGCTCCCGCCAAGTGCCAGCTTCTGGCTGAGCAGTGCTCCCCCTGTGGAAGCACACTGACCATCAGGGGGCAGTTCCTGCATTGAGCGTCTGCCCCCTGATGGTCAATGCGCATCATAGCGAACAATTGTTCCCGGTCATTCCACTGTTAGGGTCAATTTGCATATTACCCTTTTATTATATAGGATTTGCACACTGAAGTACATGTTAATAAAATGATTTTTCTTTCATAAGAATTTAAAATTAACATTAACTTTGCATTATACTCCATTTTTCCCAAAGTCCATTTAGTTGTATAAACACAGTAAAAAACACACATGCATATGTTAAAATCTTAATGGAAATAATTTCTCATTTCTTTTTTAGGCAACAAGTAACAGAAATCATATTTGTTTTAAAAGCAGTTAGTACTCTCATTGATTCACTTAAGAAAACTCAGCCTGAGAATGGTAAGTGCTTAGAAACTCAGTTATTCTAAACTCATAACGTTTATGTTCTATTTGTAATGTACTTTTGTATTATTATTAAGTTAACTGAATTTTAGGAACATAACAGCTATTAGACTTTCTTTTCTCTGGTCTTTATGACAGTTAAGCATCAGCCCATTAAGATGTCAATTAAGTAAAATTTATTTTTAATGTTTTGTCTTCATGTTAAAACAACTATTTGGCTGACTTTTTTTTTTTTTAAAGTAAATTGGTCTGAATTCAGGGTGTTGCATGGACAATTCATATTTTGTGTATTTTTAATATAGAACATCATTGACTTTTTCTAGTATGGGGAAGCTTCTATTCTGCATTTGTACTGATTTACTGTAGATATATCAACTGTATAAATAACTATGAATCATTTTTATAGTCCTTTCTCATTTATTTTCCCTTTCTGTTACTTATTCCTGTCCAATCTGTTCTTCACATTATGGCCAGAAATGACTTTTCCAAAAATATATTCAACATTTATTTTCCATCTTGTAAACAAACAAAAAATCTTTTTTTAAAACTTACTATCGC